CCTGTTCAATTTATAACATAAGAGCTGGACTCATTAATCTTATAATCTATAAGATTTACCAAATTTATTTCAGGGTCCCTTATTCAAGATTTTTTATTTAGTATGTCTAGGGTGGACCCTTAGATCTATTTGTCTTAGCAATTTTCCAGAAAATATTGATGCTGCAATATCAGGGGCCACTCTGTCTGAACCACTGGGCTAGAAGGCTAACCGTTGTCTACGTGTTGCATATCCCTTAAACTACGCCCATTTGTTCAAGGTGCCAAAAAAAAGAGGGGTTTTATTGTCTAACGTATCATTTTTATTACATTTAATAAATTTTAATTTAACCAAAGTACCTTTACATGTAGGCGTTCCTATCCATTTACCCTTGATACACTTTACAATATTTGACCCATCTAATTGGAAATTCTTTTCACATTCGTATTCGACTTGTTCTCCTGACTTATATGACTCCTTTACAGTGCTTCTGAGTACAGCATGAGGAAATGTGGGTACTTGAAAGCAATCTGTAACTGAAAGAAATGGAATAAGAATTTCGGCAAATCTTTAAGATGTATAATATTCAATATTTATCATCTAAAATAACTAGTATCAGATTAAAAATTTAATCACTGTACACTGTACAGTCTCTTTCTTTCAACTTGACCAAGTGAATTCTATACAGTCTTGATGTAATTACATTCCATTGTTCTACATCCATCAAAGTCTTTGGTTGGGATGTTCATAGTGGAGATATGTGTAGACACAATGCTTTGGGGTCTTATTTCTTTTTACATTCAAATTTATTATTGCCATGTGGTAGCCACTTGCATTTTGTATTCATGTCTGTGTTTATTTTAGTTCTGCTTCTGTTAAAATGTAACTTATGGGAAATTAAAATAGTTTAGGAAGTATGTTTATAAGGAGATCATGGAAAAGCTGACAGCAGAGCAGGGAATGATAAACAAGGAAGGGTCCTTTGTGTATGAGAAGCAGAGTTAAGAATCCTAAAATAAAAACTTGGTTTCCAGAAAGCACGGAGAGGATGAGTTAAAGGTCATACAAAGTCTCATGTTGCCAAATGTTTCTTATTCCTAAGGTTAAAATTCTCCACCAGAATACAGAACAATTTCACACAGGTAGATTGTTAGATTCGACAATGACTGCAGACTTGCTTAGTTGTACCATCTCTGCTTTGAATAAAATATATTTTTAATTCATGGAATAAAATTAAATTTATACTTTTGCAATCTGGCGGGGCAGGCCATTTTCCTCCAAAGCATTGTATAGAGTCAGGTCCATCAATCCCAAAACCATCAGAACAGATGTAGGTAACTTCCTCTCCATGTTGGTAGCTGTCTAACTCAGGAGACAGAGAACTGTGAGGTTTCCCCGGTGGTGGCTCACAAGACAGTCCTGAAAAAGCAAGAAAGGATGCGTTCATTTTTCACTTCTGAAATTTAATTTTATGTATCGTGTGTTCTATTTAGCCATTTTATGTATTTTAAAAGAAATTAAACACAGGAGGAGTTAAGTATCACATCATGAAATACATAGAGAAACAATTTCTAATGCCATGACTCTGTGGTCTTTCATAACAGGCCTAAAAACGTGAGCTGGAATGTTGGTGCACTTATGAACAATATGAACAATATAGTTAATGCTTCTTTGCCAGACATGAATGATTAAAGGAAATAAAGTAAGTATGAATGATACTTCAGAACACACCATTAGGTTACAATAAATGAGAAGGAATATTGGAGGGAAAACATTACTTTTTTTTTAAGTGGAATCAGTGGTTGACAAATCAAACACTAAAATTTCTCTAAACAAGGTGGTGGAAGTACACAATGTCATATATTTAGAGAAAAAAATAAATGCCAGAGTTTAAAGTGATTTTATATTGAGATTAAATATGTTTATCTTGTGTATATAAAGTACTTTACTAGTAAGGTAGATGAAGAATTGTATAAATACATCTAAAGTAAATTTCCTTATGCCTTTGATTAGGACTGATTATTTATAGTAAACTACTCCCAAAGCAGAATTTGACTCATCATATGCCCTCACCTACACACTGTGGTGGAGAACTCCATTTTCCCATATGGCATGTGATTCCCTTTTCTTCAGAGAGCTTGAACCCTTCTTCACAGGTATAACGTAATGTAGTGCCGTGTGAGTACCTGGATTCAGAGGGATCTTTCCTTTCTTCGGAAGCTCTAGGTGAGTTAATTGTTCCATGTTCAATATGAGAAGGCGGGTTACATGG